CGCGGCCGGGCGCCGGGCGGGCCCTCGGGGCTGCCGCCTCACCTGATGCAGCTCTCGCAGAGCCGGTGGAAGTTCTCCCTCTCGGCATCGCACTTGAGGTCGTCAAAGAGCTTGCTGAGGAGGATGGAGGCGCTCATGCGGCTGCCGGCGGTCACCGAGAGCTCCCCGGGGGCGTCCTGCACTGAGCCCCCCACCTCCAGAATCTTCTTCAGGCCTGAAGAGACACCCCCCTCAGACGGCAGAAAGCGGGCTCCACCCTGAGAGGCAGCAGAGAGCAGTGGGGCGCGGGGGTTCCTGACGCTAACCCTAACTGGGGGACCGTGCCCAGCTGAGGGACGTGGGGTTCAGGGTTCGCGCACCGAGCTGTGCTCGCGAGGCGTCTCTCTCACGCCCTCCGCTTTGGGAAACCCAGCCACGGCTAGCGCAAGCGGCCCGCAGCGCCATCCCAAGGCTTCCGGGCTGCGCTCACGGCCGCGCTGGGGCTGCTGCGCGCCACCCAGGGCCGCGCCCCAAGTGGAAGCAGACCCCCGCCCAGCTCTCTGCGCTGGCCGGCACGCGGTCTTGGCCGAAGGTCTAACGCTACGCCCCCGAGGGGCCCAGGTTCAGGTGGGGTTCGGAGTGGGGACGGCTGGGCGGTGGCACCAGGGAAGCTGGCCGCCACCCAAGGAGCCTGCCGTGGACACCCGTCCCTGTCCATCATCTACCTTGGTCAATGACCCAGAGGGTGAGGCTGTTGTTGGGGTCCTTAGGGGACTTCCGGGGCACCACTTTAATCAGGAGGGTCAGGGCATTGTCGCGGCCTTGGCCCGAAACCCCCTCCTCAGTCAGGAGCTCCAGCAGGTTGCCGATGAGGACCTTCAGCTCCCGGGCAGGGTCTGGAACGAGACGGCACTCTGGCCCTGAACCTCTCCAACACGCGGCGACAAGCCAGAGTGGGCGCGTGGGGACCCAATCCCGGCTCTGAGCCGGCCTCCGCCACCCCAAAGGCGCGCGTCCTGTCCAAACAACCCCACCACGAGTCTGGCCCAGAGCGTGGCGCCGGCCGGGCAGCCCCTCCTGCCCCAGAGGGCCACTCACCCACGATGATGGCGCCCTCTTTGCCGCGGAAGCCCTTCCTCACGCCTTCCTTGAGGACGTCAAACATCACCTGCAGCAGGTGGCAGGCAGCCAGGGACACAGCCGGGCTCTCCACGCCCAGGATGGAGACCACACGCCGGGTTCCCAGCACGCTCAGCGTGGCCACCGTCTGGGAGGGAGGAGTGGACAGAGCGGCGACTCAGTGTGGCCAGGAGACCACTTGAGGGGGAGGAGCAGCTGCCAGCGAGGACAGCAGGCCTGTTTGGGTGATGGCAGGATCCCTTGCTGGAAGGATTCCAGAAGATTCTGGAAACACCCCTACTGCCTCTCTTCCCCTTGATACCAAAGACGAGGAGGACAGTGGCCCTGAGAGCAGCCGGGGGCTGGTGCCTCCCCCGAAGGAGACGTGTCCCACCTGCCCAACACCGGGCCTCAGGCGCTGTCCAGGCATGGCCAAAGCCCTCGCCGTCTCTCAGCTGGACACCCCAGCAGGCCTCCGTGTGTGCAGGGCAGCGAGGAGGCTGCAGGGCGGGCGGACGCACGGGCTCCCGGGCTCCACGTCAGAGACTCGCAGAGAGCTGAGCGCGCCTAAGAGCCGCACCCCTGGCTGCACGTGGGCCCAGAGCCCACCCACGGCCCGGGCCAGCACCCAGCCTGCCCATGAGCTCCCAGGGCCAGGCCCTGCCCGACGGTCAGCGTCCTGGCAATGCCGGGTCAGTGCCCACACGCTCACGCTGAAGCGTGTCTAAGGGAAACAGGCGCCTGTGCGTCCCCACGGTGAGGTGCAGGCGCTGTGCCCGGAAGCCGCCCCCGCCCGGCCGGGCAGCCCCGCTCTGGCCCATTTGTTCCAAAACACGCTGACCCTCCCTGAGACGCTGCACTTTTCCTTCGTCCCCTTCGGGTAAGTCAAGGGGTAGACGTACAGATGACCGATGGAACGATGGCGGGACGCCCCAGCCAGACCCCACGCCACCTACCCGAGACTGGTGCTCCGAGCAAATGCCGACCAGCGTGCGCAGGGCGGCCAGCATCAGGTCAGCCTCCCCTGTGTCCAGCAGGCGCTGCAAGAGCTGTACCCCGTTGCTCCGGAAGATCTTCTCAGCCCCGGCATCCTCCCGGGCCAGCACCACCAGGTTCTGAGAAGCCTGTGCCAGGAGCAGCACACCTCAGCACACCCAGGGCGGGCGGGCGGGGGCCTTTAACTCTGCACCTCGAGCTAGCACCCAGCAGCAGGGAGCGGCCTGCAGCGAGGCGGGCTCTGAGCTCGCCCTCCCGGGGCGGGGCAGGCTCGTGTCTGACGGGGCGGAGTAACTGGGCCGAGGGTGGAGACAGAGGCCCCCGCCGCCTGCCACTCGCTGCTCCTGGCACAGGGCACTCGCGAGGCCTGTCTGCCCCTGGACTCACACGCGGGCCGGTTCTCGGCCAGCCTGCAGGGCCTTCCGTCCAGCCGAGGCGGCTCTGGCCGAGTCCGCCCGGGGTGTGGGGGAGGGCAGCCCCGCTGGCTCAGCCCAGGGCCGGTACCTTCTGCTTTTTCTCGGTGCCTTTCTCTTGGGGGTCCAGGAGAATCTGAAACATCTGCTCCACCTTGGCGTCGGTGGAGGACATGTAGCGCACCTACGACAGACAGCGGCCACGTGAGGCGCCACCCTCCCGCAGGGAGGGTCCCTCCGGCCTCTCGGCTCCTGCCAGGCGCGGCTCTGGGCTACTCCGGGCAGGAAGAGACGCGCCATGGCGTCTCCCAAACGCCCTGCGGCTGTTTGTCCTTCCGAGCTGAGCTGCTTCTGCCGGGCGAGCAGACGCGGCGTGGGCACAGGGGGCACGCGGAAGCCGGAGCCGGCCCCTCCCTCCCGGGCACCGGGCGGCAGCCGCCCGCGCACCTCAGGCCAGGGGCCGGCGGGTCACGAGGTCGTCACCCTTCTAGCCCCGGGGTCTCTTCACTGCTTTCACAAACCCGCAGAACCACCCAAGGCCCTCTCCCTGGATCCGGGCAAGGTCCACTGACACTACGCGCGGGCCCGCCCCCCCACGCCCCCCCCACCCCCTCTGGCGTGACACAGATTCCAGCGCATTCGCCGCCCACGCCCACCACCGCCTCCAGGCCCTCCCCCTCATTTCCACAGCGCCGGCTCCCGCCGTGCCAGGCGTCAGTCTGTGGGCAAAGCCGGCTGCCCGCGGCTCAGGGGCCGCCCCTCCTGGCCCCCAGGTGCCGTGTGCCCAGAGCCCTCTCCAGGGGACGCTAACCGAGGAGGTGAGATCCCCTCGGAAAGGGCCGCACCCCGCCCTGTGCCCACGGAGCCCCGTCACCACTCGGTGGTACCTTCCTGAGTTTTTCTTTCACTTACACACCCGAGGAGCCCAGGACACAGCACAGATGCGGTCTCAGGTGCGTGGGGGTGGTCGCAGGAGCGGCCGTCCGCAGGCATAACCGCACTTTGCTTCTCAGCCGAGCGTCGGTGCCCCACGACCGTGCTGCGGCCTGCCCCCGCCCGCCCCTCCAGCCTGCGGGGGAGCCGACCAGCTTCTCTGCGCGGGCGCGAGCGCCGGTGCTAACAAGCCAGCGGCAGTTCTAAGGGCTGCGGGGCCGTCCTCTTTGGAGAGCTGGCCAGGCTCCTCTGCTCCAGCAGCGGGGCGCCACCAGGGGTCTCCCCCACCCCAGCAGCGGGTTGCACACTTTACAGTCCAGGAGACACGCACAGCTCCGAGGGAGCAACAGCTGCCTGAGTGTCGGGCCACACCCCCGCGCCCGCCCCAGCGCCAGCAGGCCTGCTCGCCCGCGCCCACCTTCTCCTGGATCTGGCCCCCGATGTCGCGCAGGGCCTCCTGGAAGACCTTGTTCTTGGGCTCCAGGCTCACGCATCTCTGCAGGTCCAGGACGGCCTGGTCCAGGCGGCCCAGCTTCTCCTGGGCCTGGCTCCGCCGGTAAAGCGCTTTGACGTCCCCACCGTCCTTGTCGATGGCTGAGCGCAAACGGGAGCCCAGTCAGCCCCGGTCAGCCCGAGGCCCTGTCTGGGGGGACAGAGCCGAGGCCGGGAGCCGCGGTGTGCAGGAGTGTGCGGGGTCAGCCGGGAGAGGCAGGCGGCCGCCCAGGGGTGGCCCCAGGAGCCGGTCTGCTCGCCCTACCT